AGATTCAACTTTTAACTACAGTCTCGAGCAGGTTTCCCCTCCCTCAAGATACTCTGTTTTTCTTTTCTCTGTCTCTGGCAATGGTGGAGAAGTGAAACGAATTTCTTCTTTTAATTCTTATGGGTTCGTTTTCTTTTTGGGTTGCAGCTGAATTTGCCAGATAACCTCAGTAGCTTGAAACCACTCGGATTAAAGCTGAACAATTCTCCCGAGCTGGCCAGGTGGATCGAGAGACAACTGAATCGTCCTCCGACCGGAAAAACCAGGCTCAGGGAACCCAAGTCCCAGGCGGCTTCCGATAAGCCGAAACCTGTCATCACTCCCGCAAGTATGCTCAAGATCGGTTCTTGGGAGGTAAAAAATGACCTTAACAGCGAAATCCACTTCCGATTTCATCTGGGTTTCATGAAATTTTTATTCCACTCTGTTTTTGTGTGTGTGTGTGTGAAAACAGAGAGTTGCGAAGAATACGAGTGATCTGACGACCAAGTGTTACTTCGCGAAGAGGAAACTGGTCTGGGAGATATTGGAAGGAGGGTTGAAGAGGAAGATGGAAATGCAGTGGTCTGATATCATCGCCATTGACGCCTGTATTCGTGAAAAGGAGCCTGGAGTTCTTCGTATCGAGGTTTTTTGCCGCGTTTTCTTTGTGATTTTGTTTTCTGATAATGATTCATTTCATTTTCTCTGGGTTTTGATGAAGTGGGTTTGTGTGATTTTATGTTGCAGTTGAATCAGTGTCCAAGTTTCTTTCAAGAAAAGGACCCGCAGCCGAGAAAGCACACAATCTGGATGCCGACATCGGATTTCACAGGCGGCCAAGCTTCGAAATGCAGGTGAAAACAAATTGGTTCTCCACGTATGCTTTTTCTTTTTTCGTGCATGTTGGTGAATTCGTGGATTTTCATACGTGTTTTCAAAGTCCGGTAGCTTTTAATATTATCAACTTAATTAAAACAGTCATATTGAGTCGATTTATTAAGATGAGTTGATTATTTGACGTGACCATATTTTGAGATTTTGATAATCGTTATTCATTAGCACTGATAGTTAATTGAATGATCGAGTTATGGAAAATTCGAATTGAAGGGACATCAATTGGTTCTTATTACGATCTTGCTATCGAAATTCTTATAACTATTTAGATTAGGAAATATGATTCGAAGGAAAAATGGTTATTTGACGTGATCATGTTTTGATCAACTGATAACCATTAATACTAATAGTTAATTGAATGATCGAGTTGTCGGAAATTCGAACTGAAGGTGAAGGGACATAACTTGGTTCTTAATAAGATCTTGCTCTCAAAATTCGTATAACTATTAATATTAGTAGATATGATTCTGAGGAAAGTGGTATGGTATGAATTCTTGGAACTCCCTCGACAATACCAACTATCGTAACTACAATTTGTTCTTGACATAGAAATGTGTTTGATCTATGATGACTCTTCGTACTCAGAGCTATACTTAGTGTGTGTCGAGTTATTTCTGATCGTGTTTTTGAATTTTTGACATAGAAATAAATGTGTGATCTATGATGGCTCTTAGTACCCATAGCTAGATTTTACTTACAAGTTATGGGAAATACAAATTGATGGGCGCATAAACTGGTTCCTATTACGATCTTGCTCTCGAAATTCGTACAACTATTAATATTTGTAGATATGATACAAAGGAAAATAGTTATTTGACGTGATCATGTTTCGAGATTCTGATAACCATTAATACTAATAGTTAATTGAATGATCGAGTTGTGGAAAATTTGAACTGAAGGGACATAAATTGGTTTTTTATTACGATCTTGCTTTCGAAATTCTTATAACTATTAATATTAGTAGATAGGATTAGGTGCAAAGTGGTATAAATGTGTTCTTGACATTAAATTCTTATAACTATTAATCTTGGAACTCTCTCGACAATATCAACTATTGTAACTACAATTTGTTCTTGACATATAAATGTGTTTGATCTATGATGACTCTTCGTACTCAAGAGCTATATTTGCTTACAAATTATTGTGTGTCGAGTTATTTCTGGTCGTATTTTCTAATTTTTTAACATAGAAATAAATGTCTTTGATCTATGATGGCTCTTAGTACCCATAGCTAGATTTTACTTACAAATTTATTATGTGTCAAATTATTTCTGATCGTGTTTTTCAATTTTGAAAATCTATAATATTATTCGTTTGACTTAATTATAAGTTATTATGAATCGATATTTTGAGACTAGTGGTTATCATTTTCGTAAACCCTACTTTTAGTAACATGATTTGCTTTTAAGTTACCTTGAATTTGTGCAAACTGATTTCGTTTGACGGGATGGATACAAAATAAAGTATGATATTGTTCAATCTTTTCTATCTAGTCGTGATATTTGAGCATATCATTTGTTAAATAACAAATTAACAATTTCAATCATCACATAGGAATTAATTTGATTTGAAAAAATGTGTTTTTTAACAACCCTCTACAATTTGGCAACACAATTTTTTCATAAGTTCCACTGATTCCTTGTTTGCTCTAATACCTTTCTTCTTCTTTTCCAGGAGGCATGAAATAGTGTTTTCACCAGGGAACCTAGACAAGCCATACAAGAGTCTTCTACAAGCCGACCAAAACCTCTCTGAACTAAGCAGTAAGCCATTCCCCAGTCTCGAAGATCCTTACTACCCAACTCTGTATCCCGATTTCAACCCGACCCCCAACTCGGTTACGAACCCAAATCCTCAGCAGCAGTTCCCCCAGCTTTCCTCTCCATCCCCAATTCCAGGTACTAAAACAACGTAGTAAAAAGCTTGTTCCTTTTCTCCCTGCAACTTTCTTCCGAGATAACATAGTTATGCAATTTTCCCCATTCAGATGAGCAAATGACTACCAATGCTGCAATGCGGGGTGAGAAGATGCTCCCAGAACCTAACCCTAATGTTGGGCTTGTTAGCTCCAATAAGTCAGTAGCAGCAGCCACAGCCTCCACCATGGGGAACCAGTACTTAGCACCGCGGAGAATGTATTATGGTTCAAGCTCGGGTGCTGCTTCATTGAATGGGCAGATCAACAACAACAACAATAACCTGTTGGATACTGAACCACGGAAAATGTATTATGGTTCGAGCTCGGGTGCTGCTTTATCGAATGGGCAGATCAACAACAACAACAACCTGTTGGATACTGAACCACGGAAAATGTATTATGGTTCAAGCTCAGGTGCTGCTTTGTCGAATGACCAGATCAACAGCAACAACCTGTTGGATACTGAACCACGGAGAATGCATTATGGTTCGAGCTCAGGTGCTGCTTTGTCGAATGACCAGATCAACCGCAACAACCTGTTGGATACTGAACCACAGAGAATGTATTATGGTTCGAGCTCAGGTCCTTCTTTATCGAATGGGCAGATCAACAGCAACAGCCTTTTGGATGCTGAAATGATGAGCATCAGTCATTTCAGTGGGTCGGTATCGGATCTGGATGGGTCTCCTTCTTTAGTCGTTGATAAGGATTACCTGATGAGGGAAAGATTGGAACTCCTGGGAGATATGGAGATTGATCATGATGCTGAATTTGCAATTCGTCCGAACGAGATGTTGTACGACCAGCATCACCAGCAGCAGGGTTTTGCTCCAGATCCCTCTGCTGCTGGTTTGATTACAAGTGGTGGGGAAATGCATGAGCAGCAGCATCAGAAGCAGAAGCAAGGTTTTGTTCCTGATGTTGCTCCTGCTGGTTTGATTACAAGTAGAGGGGAAATGTATGAGCAGCAGCAGCAAGTTTTTGTTCCGGATCACGCTGCTGCTGGTTTGATTACAAGTGGTGGGGAGATGTATGAGCAGCAACTTCAGCAGCAGGAGGTTTTTGTTCCAGATTCCGCTCTTGCTGATTTGATTACAAATGGTGGGAAAATGTATGAGCAGCAACATCAGCAACAAGAGGTTTTTGTTCCGGATTCCGCTCTTGCTGATTTGATTACAAATGGTGCGGAAATGTATGAGCAACAGCAGCAGGATTTTGTTCCGAATCCCGCTGCTGGTGGTTTGAATACAAGCGGTGGGGAAATGTATGAGCAGCAGAATCCGCAGCAGCAGCATACTTTTGTTCCGGATCCCGCTGCTGCTGGTTTGATTACAAGTGGTGGAGAAATGTATGAGCAGCAGAATCAGCAACGACAGGATTTTGTTCAGGATCCCTCTGCTACTGATTTGATTACGACGGGTGGGGAAATGAATGAGCAGCAGCAATCAGAGTTTTTTGAGTATCCCCATCTTGATGATTTTGGGATGATGCAGTTTGACCAGGGTAACAACCTCGAGAGCGTTCTAAGAATGGATCTTGAGCAGGCACTACAGTTTTAGGTAGAAGATTTGAGAGTAGGGTATGTGCTGATGATTTTGAACACAGCTTCTTGAAGCTTATTTGTTTACCATTGTTAGGCCAATTCTTGTACGAGACAGCCTTGGTTTTTCTTAGTTCTAGGGGTTTAGGGAAAGATTGGAACTTTACTAGGTTTTTTAGCTTAGTTGGAGGCGGAGAGAATTTGATGAACAAGGGATCTTGAGAGATTCTCATGTTTTGTACTCTGGAGAGTGAAGTGAACAGATCTCTCAAATGCAATGCAGAAACTGAAACAAATCAGAATAAATGGAATTTCATCTCAACTTTTCTTGTGGCAATGGCAAAGTAAGATATGGTATCATTTGAGTTATTGTGATAAATTGGTATTTTAATCGGCGAAAGAGTTTACTGATAGATATTTCTCGTGTTTAAGTCTTCGTGGCTTATAATTCACCCAAATAAGTAGCGAGGAGGGTCATATAGGCTCAAATTGAATTTCATTCCAACATGTAAACAGATTATCTTTCAACTCATAAGTTTGCACTTGAGAAGTAAACTAAACTCTCTGCAGAAAGACTTCAAAAACTATGACTGTAAAAAACGTTCAATGAAAGCGAAGGAACCAAATCAATAAATTCTTTGTTCTTATAAATGATCTCATTCTACTCTAAGCAAGGTTCAAAGTCTTTGAATGGGGAGATTTACTCGATCGATCATCAGCTGATTTTCTTGCAACTTCATTAGCAGCGCCACCTTTCTCCATATTCATGTCGCTGTGCCGCCTTTTCTTCGAATGTTTCAACAAAGATTTCTCCTTCATACTTGCTATCGTTAACTCCTCTTCTTTCTCTGTCTCTTCCTTGTTCTCTTTGTCCCTAGAAACTTTTGGTTCATGATTACTCGGAGGTGGAAACAACGGAGGCTCTTGGCCGCTTAATTTGCAGAACACTCTTTCAACCGTTTCACTTATTTCTTTCCCCAATCCATTGTTGTCCAGAATCAGTTCCCACACTGATTTCGAAGCCTTCTCGAGCACAGGAGTTCTACAAATGAAAAGAACGTGGAAATTGCAGCTAATAGGATTCGATTGAACTTTGAATGAATAACATCAAGCAGAGAAATGAAAGAGGAAATAAAAAGAACCGAGATGCCTACTCAAGTTCTTGTCGAAGTGCATCGAATAGTTCCCTCTTGGTCTGTTTCTGTGCGCCAGGTGTATTTAAAACCTTACTCTGCTCGGACATTTTATGGTTGTATTCTTCAGCTCTTCCCGTGAAAAGAATATTTGCTAAAGCTAATTACACAATCAATTGCTTTCAGAGTGCAAAAGGTATTCAGAAGTTTAACAGAAGATCAACGAGATGCAACCTTTATCAACAGCCTTAACTCCTAGGACACTTAGTTCTACTAAACAAAAGATTTAATGGTCGCAAAGAAACCACGATTAAGGGTTCCAATAAAGGTTCCGATGAAATGCTAAATCTCTAGAGATAGAATTATCATGGTTTCTGATATAAGTTCAGATTAAATGCTAACTTTTTAGAGAAAAGAAAATCCTTGATGCGATCAGATCGCATTCAGGGTGACAATGCATGTAACACTTCATTGTTCTAACAAATATACCATTCCTTTTATTGCATCAAATTGACAGCCAATCAGACAAGCAGCATAATGGAAAGCTCAAGTCCCGATTGAATTAATGGCCATTCCATATGAAGAAAAAGAGGATCGACAACATGAACGAATAATGTCATCTGATTTTATCAAATGAAACGATCGATCACCAGAGCCACGTGTACCGAGAAGAGGCCAGAAACTATAACTAAGCACATTTTAACCCCACTAGCTTAGCAGGAAAAAAAGTGAATCTCTTTAGCCTATGAATCAACACAATCTAATTCTCTTGGAACTCTTTTCCTTCTCATTAACAGTAAGGATTTCCAAATATGCAACCGAACATAAGCCAAACAGTAAGCAATTCTCAATTTCCAACCGAAATTCAAATCTTTGGAACCAATTCAAACAAATCTAATAAGGAAAAGCAAATTGAAATTTAAGAATGAGCTCAGATAGAGATGGGTGTACATTGGCCTTGAGCTTATTGATGATCTTCAATTTGAGAGCATCAATGGTGCCGTCATTCATCAGACATTCCAAAACGTCTTCTAGAGATATCACCGACAACGAAGAAGAAGACGCCTCCATATCTGAACCCTCCCAAGTCCCAACAAAACCAGAAAATAAGAACCCTAGAAAGGATGAATTCGGTTTCTTTTCATCCTTCCCGCCAATTTCTCGCTCTTATCTATCGGCAAACAAGTAACAACAAATAACCCAACACCGGAAAACAGTAAGATTCAATTCCCTACCTTCGAAACCCATTGAAGAAAGGGGGACATAAAGATCGAATAACCTCGGCCTCAAAAGAAACTAGCAATTTTATGAGGACGAAAAGAGAATTAGCACCTGCAACAAAACTACGGGCCAACACGAGCTGGGTCTGCCGCCACAAACACCCGCATCAGTGTGAAGAGTGTTCGCGCAGAATTGGCGAGGTGGACGATGAAAGGCGCCGCCATTTGAACCTTTTTTTGATTTTTTTCCCTTTTTAGTTTTCCCCCCAACCCAGCTGCTACACTTATGATTCTTTCTGCAGAGAATGGCGAAGAAGGGAACTTATCTGATTTCCGCGCTCTAATTGACAGTCCGGAGAGGCTAATACGATGTCATTTGACCGTTTGGCGGGCAACTGTAGCTGAGTAGCCGGAAGAGGTTTCGCGTTCGTCAGAGTAGAACCCACAATGAAAGTCGTAGCCTTTAAATTTTAACGGAGGCCTCGGCATTTAAAGCCCATAGCTTAAAAGTTGTAAAGCCTTGTAAGTTGTAATTGGCTCTTAATGTGATCCTAATTGGTATGAATTAGGATGAAGTACATGATCATTGAAAATGTTAAATGTATAAAATTAGAATTAAATGGAACAAATCCTCATGCGGAGAAACTTATACTCGAGTTCATTAGAGACAAAATGATCAGTATTCATCAAGAGTATCATCTATCCAACAACAATGCATTACTGGATCCGGGTTTGAAACCTCGTGCCCGGTTCGGAGATCCTTAACCATACGATATGGCTGGAGAGAAACACAAAGCAAACCCAAAATGTCACATTCCTTGAGCTACTCAAAACAACAGTGATAGTTCTCTACAAAGAGACCAGTACACATGAAAGCTTTAAGAAATGGTTCTGTGATCACTTACATGAAGGACATACATGCGAATTTGATTGCCCCAGCTGATTTCCGTCAACGATTGAGAGTGTGTTGAGCATTCACCTGGGCCTGCCTCGCCATCTCAAGCTGGTCTAGCCGCGACTGAAGCACTGACATAGCTGATGACTTGTTTCATATGTTGTGATCTGCAGCAAATCCGTCCAATCAGAATCATTTCAACATTTGGAGCCTACAGAGAACTCATGGATTTAACCCTGAAAAACATGTAAAGGTAATAACTTGAGCTTTAGTCGTTAAGAAGTTTCACCTTTCGTTCTGGCATGTGGCAGTTACCCCAGTTGGAATATGAACTATCCTCACAACACTCTCAATCGAGTTAACATGCTGCCCACCAGCTCCCCCAGCTCGAAACGTTCGATTCGTAGGTCGGATTCATTGATTTAAATGTTTGTGAACCCTTCCCCAAGAATTGGAATCACGGCTACTGCTACAAATGATGCGTGCCGCCTTTTACTGCCATCGAAATGGGAGATTCGAACCAGCCTGTGGACTCCTACTTCTGCTTTTGCATAGCCAAATGCATACTCACCATCTAGTCTGATAAGGTAGCAAAAGAAATCTCAAATTTAGGCATGTTTGCTTAACGGGAGAGAACTTGATAAAAAAAGATAACATGGAATTTCATGGACTGGATACATGGGCAGGTATGCAAAACCCTCATCTGTTCGAGGATGGGGAGAATATCAATTTTGAGAATGAGCAAGAATCATGCTCTGCAGACAACAAAGCTTCAAGTTCTTTCTCTGTGGAATTTCTTCTCATATCAAGCAAGGCTTTCAATGATTCCTGCAGAGCAAGCACGTGATAAGTCATTGATCATGCTAAAGCTACACATGATATGTCCAACATGGTTAAATAAAAATTTGGTGACATAATATGTTCATGTGTATCACATTAAGCATTAAGCCGAGTTAAAAAACCGAAATCTCCCTAACGGCAAATACTGATGAAATATTAGGATGAGTTTGGGGCTTAGTTGTATCAATGTTGAATTCTGCGTCTAATGTAAGATATGTAAATGAGTCCCGTAAACATATTGGTTTTTTAGACCGTTCCATGTTGATAGTAGCCGACCCTTCTGATCAATAGTTCAAGACTACCATTTAAAGCTAAGCAAGAGATAAGCAGGTTCAATATATTGGTCCAGGTAAGAGTTCTACCGAGTAATCTAATCATTAGGGCACCAGGAAAAGAGCACATGCCTAAAAAACAAGAAGCATGGTTTCCCCACTGATTCCAAGTCGGAAGCCTCTGCTTCTTCGCGAACCAACTTTATCATATCAATGTGCTCAATCAGATCTTGTTCCAATGCTTTCACCTCTTTCATCTTGCCCATCACCGAGCCATGCTCCCGGCTTAAACTTCCCGCAAGAACAGGATCATCCCATAGGTCTGGCTTATTCAGCTGTGCTGATAGCAGATCTAATCTAACCATCAACTTCTTCCACTGCCACAAATTACAATCATGGATCACGAATACAGTATCAAAACAACTAGAAATCATGCAGAAATTAACAGCCAGGGTACTGGAAATGAACTAAAATTTCAGCCACTCCAGAAACAAAGGGATGTTTTGCACCACGGGTTGTTCAAATACATGGATTATAAGAACTTGCAGGTTTTAAAATGTATAGATTATGAAATGGTCAGGTTGTAACGATGTATTGTTTTTGGATGAGCAGGAATCCATTAGATAATGAATTTTCAGGCAACAATCCACCCATTCCAAAATCCAAATGACCCCTAATAAGTTCAATTCAATTCTAAATTGAACCGCCGACTCGATTATCGCTTCCTGAATTTCCAGAACCTAAGAACAGCCATAACCTGCAACCGCTTCTTGATGACTTGAATGGACTGAGCAAGGGCAGCAGCATGGCTCTTCCAATCACTCTCACTTTCATCAAGAATGGCCCAGTTACTAGCAATAATTCTATCAACAGTCAAGCCATCAGAAGTAGACAGGTCCATAGCTGCTGCCGCATGTGTACTAAGACTATGAAGAACCCTCCTCTGGAACATAAGCTCTCTATTCAAGACGCCATTTGAAGAGAACACAGAAGAAGCCAGAACCTCTTCATTCTTCCCAGCAGATTGCAAGAAGAACAGAGGATTACGTTCTGTCTCGGGTTCAAGAGGGCAGAGAAAGGAAGCTGCGAGGAGACTCCTGGAACAAGTCCTGGATCTTCTGAGTGCTCATATATGTTGACGATAACCTTCTTGCCGGCAATGATATGGGTTTCATCAATCACGTCAAGTCTTTCCTTGATCAGCATTTCAGCATCAAGGATCTGGGTCTTATTCGCTATTTCTTGGGCATTGAGGTTGCCCAACCTCCGCACGGTATTATGCTCAGTCAGCGCAAGTATACCTTGGATATCCTTGAAGAATCAGGGGTACAGGCAGCTCGACCAAGTTCCTTTCCAGTCGAGCAGAATCATCACCTGACTCGGTCCTCTTCTTCCCCTTGGCTGACGGGTCTCCGTTTCGTCGACTACTTGGTCGTCTTCAGTACCTTACTGTCAATGCAGTTAAAAGCGTGATTCTACCTAAAAGCGGAAAAGGGGTAAAATCGAAAAGCGGTGAATCAAAGCGTAAAAGCGTAAGTTTTTGATGCATCCTGTATAATAGTTAAAATAATGTTAAGTACGACATAAACTATGTAAAATATGAGTTCACAGAGTTTAGATAAAAGAAAAAATACATGCAATTCATGTCTAAATAAGTACACATAGAACAAATATCTCATCCATTTTATCACATAAATCAAATAGCAAACATGAAAAAGCTGATAAATTTCAAAGAAGATTCTCATGTTTCTAGGGGTGAACTTCTGTTTCCGCTTTTTCCATGAATGTGGACAAAATGACTCCCCAACTTAACCAATGTAGTTCGTACGTATTCAGACTTTTCTGTAGATTTTCTTGTTAGTTTATTGCCTCTCTATCCATGATGAAGCAGTAGTCCAGAATTTGACGTATTAGGGTACCCTATAGATTTATAATATGAGTACTAATATAACGAGAAAAGAGAAAAACCTTTGACAGCGAAGAGCGATGGCCGGTGGGTGAGGACGACGAGCTACGGACGACGGAGTTAGGGCGGCAGCGGGCGACGGGGCGTTGGACTTGCGACGGGTGATGGGGCGCTGGACTTGCGACGGGCGACGACGACGAGCTACGGGCGATTGGCCGAGGGAGGTGACGATCAGCGACCGAGGGAGATGACGAGAAGGGTGGGAGCAGAGCTGGAGATAGATGGAGATGAGATGGAATTAGGGTTCAGCGTAGCCCCTTCTCCCTTTTGGGAGTCCGATAGTTTTTTTTTGTTTTTTTTTAATAAAAAACGACGTCATTTTGATGAAAGGAGACAGTTTTGCTCCTTTGCTTGGAATCATACAAAAACGGTATAAAAATGAGTTTTTAACCGATTTTAACGATTTTACCGATTCTACTACGCTTTTGACCCATTTTGAGTAACAAACGATTTTATTGGTGATTTGAAACGTTTTCCTACCCTGGAAACGTAAAATCGTACGATTTTACGCTTTAAAGCGCGATTTTGACTGCACTGCTTACTGTCACCCGTCCGAACATCACGTATGGGGTGAACCTTCTTAGTCTCTTTGTGCATGCACCCACTTAGGATCATATGGATGCTGCCCTTCGAATTCAGCGATATCTCAAGCAGTCTCCGGGACAGGGTCTCTATTTCCCCGCCGGTGGTGAGCTCGATCTGGTTGCTTACTGTGATGCTGATTGGGGTGGATGCGAGAGTACTCATCGTTCGACTACTGGTTTTTTCATTCGTCTTGGTAATGCTCCCATTTCTTGGCGTACCAAGAAACAGAAGGTAGTTGCTCGTTCTTCTGCTGAAGCTGAATATCGGGCTATGGCTAGCACGGTTAGTGAGGTTCTATGGCTCCGTTGGTTGCTCCTGGAACAAGTCCTGGATCTTCTGAGCGCCAAAGCTAACATCTTTTCGCCCTTGGTTTCTTAGTCGACGGGGATCGAAGGCATTTCGAGGTTTTTCTGCTCATTGCACAACACAAGCTCGATCTTCACTTCTAGGTTCTGCAGCCAATTCCAAGGGATTTCAGCTTCTGGTTCCTTTCCTCCCCGATCCAATTTCATGAAAAAGTAATCTGCTGACGATTCTTGAATCTTACTCTCCCGGGTTTAACAGGGAACTGCCACTGAGTTGAACAAGCCGCGAGGGTTTGATTGGGAAGACGAAAGAGTAACGATAAAACAGTATCCGCCTCTTCAAGATCCAGCCTTTTCTCCTTGTCAACGACCGAGGTCTTGTTTGAAGATCAGTGGCTAATGGCTGTCACTAAACCACAAGGAATTTACTGCGAGTCCGTGTTGGAATTCGTCCTAGCCTTTCTCCTTTCCCGCGCAAAAACCGCCCCATTCGCAGACGCCATTGGTAGGTCACTTCAGAAGTTTCAGTAACTTATTGTTTGTCCCGTCTTTCCCAATTGAATTTTCATATCTCCGTGTTTAGGTAAAGTTAACAACTTTTGCCCTCAAGACTACAATGAATTTGAAGTACGAGCTCCAAATCGGATGTTTGTGTTGCGGACAATACAATTGGCCGCCGGAGCTCCACCTGGCGAATCGGCTCGATCAATACACTAGCGGCGTGATGATCATCACCAAATCACACAAGGCAGCCGCTAAGCTAGTCAAGGCATTTACTGATCACAAGGTGAGGAAGACTTACATTGCTTCGTGCATTGGTGCTTCTCCATATTGGAAAAGGATTACAGTTAAATCGGGCCACGGTAGATCCAAATTCGGGGCGTGGCGTGTGTATGCAGCATCAGATGCAGGGCGAATCTTGCCCGGCGGGTCTTTGGTTAGGGACATGGAGACTACATTTGAGGTGTTGTCTGTGAATGGGAAGAGAAGAAGCTTAGGAGAATCATTAGAGGGAGAATGAGGGGGAATGGTAGTTGTTGAGGAGAAATCAGTGAAATGGGCAATAATGGTGGTGGTGGTGAAATGCAGGATGAGGTTTTGATTAGGGCGTTTCATAGGAGTGGAAGGACGCATCAAATTCGTTTGCATTGCCAGTTTGTCGGGTTGTCGATTAAAGGTGATGTGAAGTATGAAGGAGTTCATGAGTGGAATGGGGAAGTGTGTAGTGGCCATGAATTACATGCTGAGAGCTTGTCTTTTGAGCATCCTATGACGGGTCTTCCCATGAAGGTTCATGCACCTCTGCCTTCATGGGAAACTCATTTATTACCTGCATCATAGGATCAGTGGGGATATACAAATTGTTTGATGATGGTAGATGCATATGCTACTCGATTTTGAGGACATGGGAGCTGGTGACGTTGGAATCTTGAAGGAAATAAGACAATGGTTCGTGTTGTTGCTCGTTGAGAAAGCCATAGCCTTTTCGCTTCAATCGGGAGTTGGCTTTGTTATGATGAGAGGCTGAGCACGTCTTTTGAGCATCCTGTTACTAGTCTTCCCAGGAAAGTTCATGCGCCTTTGCCTTCATGAGCAACGCAGTTGTTGTCTGAATTGTAGGATTCAATGTGGCCTTCTGAAGTTGATGGAGATGCACAGATGGGTAGCGGGTGGTTGATGCTCTTATCGATTCAACTACATATGTACAACTGTACTTGTAATGCTGTTTGCTTTAACCTCGAGTTAGGTTAACTAATATAACTATGATGACTTCTTGATCCTTCACCTGTTTTCTAATGAGGTCCTGAAGTTGTTGCCATTGACATCTGCCCATAAAGACAGGAAGAACTATTCACAAGAATATTGAAAACATGGATACTTTCCTTTTGGCTAAATTACACGTTTGGTCACTCAAATTATACAAATATTTCACATTTGCCACTCGAATTATTTTTCTTTCTGATTTGTCCTACGTGACAGTCAACTATAAAGTTTGACCGTTAACTAGTGACGTGGAAATTAAAAAAAATTAAAAAAAATAATATTTATTTTCCACCTCATCATTCAACCTACTTTGACTATGTGATTTATCATATTCATTATTTAATAGAAATTAATTATTAGCAAAGGAATTGCAGAGGCCCGGGCATTGAGGGATTTCGGCCGCCCACTTTTACACCTCCTCTTCTGCGTTCCTTCCTTCCTCGGCTTCTCACCTCTCCTTCCAATGGCTTCCTCCACCATAAATATAAGTGTTTACTTTTTTTAATTTCCACGTCACTAGTTAACGGTCAAACTTTATAGTTGACTGCCACGTAGGACAAATTTAACGGAGTGTAATGGCTGGTGACTAATGATGAAACAATTCGTAAAGTTAGAAGCGAATCAAAAAGAAAAGTAATTCGGGTGGTAAATATGAAAGATTTGTATAATTTGAGTAACCAAACGTGTAATTTAGCCCTTTCCTTTTCCTCTTCCAACATTGAAGAGATTAACTGTTTATTATCAACAAGATGTGCAAGCTTTTACTTTGAAGAAATCAACTGTTTACTGTCAGCAATAAGGTGGTCAATGATTACAGTGAAGGAAGATTTAAACTCAAACTTCAATCTTTCTGGAAGATATTGTTTTGGTCTTAACTCTTAAGACTCTTAGCTAGAGGTGGCAATTGGATTGATCCATGAATTGGTGGATTCATGGATCAAATGGATTGGATCCAATGGATTGGTGGATTCATGGATTGGATCAAGTGGATTGGTGGATTATCCATTAATCCAAATGACATCCTCAACCAATGACCAATAGCAATATGTAAAAAGTTTAGGTACTAAAATGTCATAATGAAAAATTTTAGGTACCAAAACGTAATTTTCTAATGATATTTTTGTATTAAAAATTAAATTTTGGGTACCAAAATGTAAAATATAAAAAGTATAGGTACCAAATCGTAATTTTCTATTTGGATCCATGGATCAATCCATGAATTCACCAATCCAATTGGATTTGGATAAAATGAATTGAATTTAAATGAATTGGATTAGGTAGATATTTTTAATAGGTTTGTGGATTGGATTGATGGATTGGATTGAGAATTGCCACCTCTACTTTTAGTAACAAAGAGTCGTTAGTGCTCTTTTCCTTCCAACTACACCAATCCCTAATCATTTGAGCAGGCTATGTGCATGTTGCTTATCTCTCTGCACTATTCTTGCAGACTGAAGAGTAACTTCTAATCCAAGTAATCGAGCCTTCTGTCTCCTATTTTTATACTCAATATTTGTCCTCTTATGGAGATAATCCAAATTGCAATGAGTTCCTTGTACGATTTAATGTTTGATATATATATGTGTGAGCCAGGGACGGAGCTAGCGTGTAAGCAGGGGGGGCCATGGCCCCCCCTAAAATATTAAAATCCGACTTTGCACTAACAATACATAACACAAGCTGTGGTCTAGCGGTGTGTAACATATAATTTTGAAGAGGAGGTCTTAGGTTCGATTGATGCTAGCTGCAGCTTTGAGTTTTGTAAAATTTTGATTCCTAAGCTCAAATTTTACATGTTTTACGATTTGGTACCTAATTTTTCATTTGGGTACATTTTTTGCCCATTGTCTTACGATTTGGTACCTAAATTTGCATGAATAGTTTAAATTCATGAAATTTTGCTTCTTAATCCCAAGTTATGCATGTGCGATTTGGTACCAAATGTTTTCATTTTAGTACACCTTTTGTCCCAAATTTCGCATACATTACGATTTGGTACCTAAGTTTTCCATTTTAGTAGTGTTTTTTACTTTTTGCCCATTATCTTACTTTGTATCGGACTTTCTCATCCCCAACCTTTCTATACAAAACTCTTCTACTAGTTAAAAATAGACTTCTATGTGTCAATATTTTGGTAATTTGTGTTGAAAAATAAATAACATAATAAATTCTTACTTCAAAATTTTTATCGGCCCCCCCTTACCTAAATTCCTGGCTCCGTCCCTGGTGTGAGCTTGTCTGTATATATACTTAGTGGAACTTTTCTTCTACACTTTTTTGCCAACCAAAACTTGAATTCTAAGTTTAATATGGTTAAAATGATTTAATGTTTGATATATATATGTGTGAGCTTGTCTGTATATATACTTAGTGGAACTTTTCTTCTACACTTTTTTGCCAACCAAAACTTGAATTCTAAGTTTAATATGGTTAAAATGGTCATCTGATAGCAATTTGAAGTCGCTCCGCGGGTATTATCCGACCTGATTTGCGATGGGGCGTGTATTAATCGATCCGCAACAATGTGAAGTGGGGGCATGAGTATCTACTTCTGACCAGCCATGCTCCACTCAGCCACGTTCTAGACCCATTTTGTCTCAATTTCTTACGGTATCTATATATATTTCTCTTATTTTGACTTTTATTCAACTAGTTAGAGTCTTTTTATTTCAACTTGTTAGACTTAATTACCCATTTTATTATCAGCATTTTTGTTTCATCTGCGTGTATCTTTTCCCTTTGTTAGACTTAAAGTGTTTTCCCTTTGTTTTATCGTAAAAAGTAAATTTTGCGTGTATCTTTTCCAAATAACATTAAGAGTGGGTCGTCACGCTCCGTATCCGCGTGAGTTTTACCTGCCCGACCCGTAATAGCGTAGTGCGGGGCATGGGAATTGAGGTACCCGCCCCGCCCCATCACATTGCCATCACTAATAACTGGTGAAAATGTATTTGTAGCGGTAAAGCCAAATTCGGTTAAATTTATGTATTTTCGTTATCGAAATTAGGCTAGAAAAAATACACAAAAACTCTTAGATTACACAATTTCGGCCATTAGTTATGTTTGAAATTAGTTATCGCATTTTAATTACAATCAAGTAAAAAATAAAAATAAGAACACAATTCCATCTCTTCTCTTATAATTCTCTTAGAGTGAGTTTGAACGTTGCGCTTTATATTCGGGATTTATAATTACGAATAATAAATCATTTGTTTGGATGCGAAATAGATATGATTTTTTGCCCACTGTGTTTGACTATAGATGCCCATATTCCAAACATAAAATCATGGAATTGAAATTACCTATAAATTCCAAGTAAATGTTCCATAAAAATGAAACCAAGTAAATGACTAAATGTCCGAACAATATATTTTTCATCTTTTTAATTTTTAAGCAAATCAATGCACCCCCTATGTTTTAATTTCTGGCATCATCTAATCCTCTATCACATGTGATCTCCTACAATGGATGTTTCTAGACTCTAGAGAAAAATCCCAACTAATCCTAATCGGCTAATCCTAATCTCACGAAAGAAGGACAAAAAACGTCAAATATTAACTCGAAATTTTAATTAATTTCATACCATTTCCATTTTGGTCCCACCCATCCGTTTAACCAATGGAAACCAAACACTCTCACGGCCGGCCCCCGCGAAAAAAATACCTTCAGAAGAAAACAGCACCATTTCGGTGTCGCTTCCCAATCCCCCCGCGCCACGTTGACACAAATGACACCCTTGAATGACGTGGCGGACTATCATTTGCTGCCTGCCCTCCCGTCCTCCACGTAGGACGTTAACGGCGAATGGGGGAAGTGAGAGTCCCCGCCCGCCGTCAGAACCGATGAACAGAGCCCTGCTATAAAAACCTATTTCACCACTATCGCACTCTCTTTCCATCAGAGTCCAACGACAGCTTCCTCCCTATCTTTGTATCTATCTCGTGCGCCGGCCATGGCGAAACCTAATTCGCTCTGCCTGATCCTCCTGCTCTCCTCTCTCGCCCTCGCCTCCGCCACCGTTTTCTTCGAAGAAAAATTCGAAGGTATCATCGTGGTCCCCTCCCTCTCGAGATCTCCATTTGCTTGATGCGTTTGATTCCCTCGGCGTTTCGATCATTTATCGGCCTGTTAGTGTAGCCTCGGTTTTGGTTGATCGAGTTGTCTCCTTATGTAACATTCAATGTAGTTCCCCTGAGGATCAGGCTTAGTAATCGTCGTTTTCAGTGTATGACACCATTGGCGGCGAATGTTGGAATTGTTTGGATCTGATCCTTACTGCTTGAATTTGGATTGATAGCGAGTGATGAACTCGGAATGCACCGGTGTTTGTTTAGATCTGTGAATGGATGGTTGGATTATTGAGCTAGTCGTACTTCTGGTCTTGTAGTAGTGCACACTTGCGGTAGCTGATTGTTTGGCCGTGCGATTTAGCTGTGAGCTATTGAGTGACTGTGAACTGATGATCAACGTATGTGTTTGGTTTCTCTGATAGTTTCTGATAGCTATGGAGTTGGTTTCCGTTTGTAAAGTATGGTTATCCCAGTAATTTGAGGAGGTCTAATTTTTATATCTTTGATGGTTTAACGCTAGGCTTTCATTTTCAGATATGTAGCTTTAGCATTTGTTCATTTCTGATTCTGGTCGTCGTTTTTTTTTTTTTTTAACTTTGGACTGAAGATGGTTGGGAAAAGAAATGGGTTAAATCCGACTGGAAGAAAGATGAGAACATGGCTGGAGAGTGGAACTACACCGCCGGAAAGTGGAATGGCGGCGCTGATGACAAAGGTGAAAATTCTTTTCTGATCAATTAGGTTTCCTAATTGTGTGTGTACATTGAGGTTGAACTAGTGGAAGGTATATGGTTCATATTGTAGCTTGCTTGCTGATAATTTGCGGCAAAATTCCAATGCAGGTATCCAGACAAGCGAAGACTACAGGTTCTATGCTATTTCAGCAGAGTATCCTGAATTTAGCAACAAGGACAAAACCCTAGTCTTTCAATTCTCTGTCAAGCACGAACAAAAGCTTGATTGTGGAGGTGGGTACATGAAGCTGATGAGCGGTGATATCGACCAAACCAAATTCGGTGGTGACACTCCATACAGGTTACCCATTTATCCCCAATCTCACTATGCTATTGGTTTAGACTTAAATTGTCATTTGATTTCTGATGTGAGGGTTTACTCTTTGCTTGCAGTATTATGTTTGGACCTGATATCTGTGGTTACAGTACCAAGAAAGTCCATGCTATTCTGACTTACAATGGAACAAACCACTTGATCAAGAAGGAAGTCCCCTGTGAGACTGACCAGCTCTCCCATGTTTACACATTCATCATTCGCCCTGATGCTACTTACAGCATTCTGATTGACAATGTGGAGAAGCAAACTGGCAGCTTGTACTCTGACTGGAGCCTTCTCCCTCCCAAGAAAATCAAGGATCCTGAAGCCAAGAAGCCTGAGGATTGGGATGAGAAGGAGTACATTCCTGACCCTGAGGACAAGAAGCCAGAGGTAAACTATAAGCGTCGCCACTGTTAATCTTTCTTTCATGTAGATTTTGTAGAAACCTGTTAGAGATGATGTTGATCTGTTCATATAGGGATATGATGACATCCCTAAGGAGATTCCCGATACCGAAGCCACCAAGGTAATTGATAACTAGCAAGCCTTTCTATTTTTAATTCTTTTGTCATGCTATTATCGTTGTATCTTATTATATCTTGCCTTTCCAACTGTAGCCCGAAGATTGGGATGATGAGGAAGATGGTGAGTGGACTGCCCCAACTATTCCCAACCCAGAGTACAAGGGTCCATGGAAGGCAAAGGTTTGTGAATCTACTATTAAAAACAAAGTAGCTTGATCTTTAATACACTCTGGCCTGTAGTTCTGATTTGTTGTATCCACACTTGTACAGAAAATCAAGAACCCCAACTACAAGGGCAAGTGGAAGGCTCCAATGATTGACAACCCAGGTTCAGCCTAGTTCTTATTAGCTGTTCTTTGCTGTTCATTGTTGCCTGATAGCTTATCAGTGATAATTAATCAATTTGTGTATTTTTTGGCAGATTTCAAGGATGATCCAGAGATCTATGTTTTCCCCAACATGAAGTATGTGGGCATTGAGTTGTGGCAGGTGAAATCTGGAACCTTGTTTGACAATGTCTTGATCTGCGACGATCCCGAGTATGCCAAGAAGTTCGCTGAAGAAACATGGGCCAAGAACAAAGATGTAAGTATAGCATACCGTCTTCTCCCACCATCTTTAAAAGTCCGCGATTTTCACAGAGAACTCCTTGCCTGATCGATTGACACGAGTCTCTGTTGGTTTTGTTTGATGATAGGCTGAAAAGGCAGCATTTGAAGAAGCCGAAAAGAAGGCAGAGGAGGAATCATCCAAGGACGACCCTGCCGATTCTGATGTAAGCTTTTTCAATACTATCCACTATTCCCTCCCTCTCTCTCCCACCCTCCCTCTTTTTCTGTATCATCCCCTTTGTGTGGTTTAAGTTTAACATGCTGTATTTTGTTATCTGATGTGAATCACAGGCTGAGGATGATGATGACACTGAAGATGCCGACACAGAAGACGACTCTGACCTTAAAGCCGAGGGTGCTGAAGACTTCAAGGACGAAGAAGAACTACATGTACGTTTTTAACTCGGGCCGTAGTACTAACTCAAGATAGCTTCAGCAGTTTCTTTCTTTCCAGTCTGCCTGATAATTATGATTCTTTTTTGGGCTTTGCAGGATGAGCTTTAGGAAGGACAGATGAAGAGGAGAAGAAAGCAAAGCAGAGCAACTCAATGCCAGTAGAGACATTGTTCAGCGTTTTTTGTTTTTTGGTTGTTATAGTTGTAGAAGCTGATGGATTCTTAACTAGAAGAGGGAGGAAACGTTTCGAGAAATAGAACTGGCGACAGCGTTGGAATGATTCCTTTGAAACGTCTAGTGTTACATTCTTGACTGTCTCTCTCGGAGCTATCATTTAGAAGAAAACCTTAAAGAGGACTTGTTGCTGCCTGTTATTTTCTTTGTTTACGTTCCTCGAGGCAGACGAGCAACTCCCAATTCCCAACCTACTTGCATTACGTAGTGCTTCAATCCTAGTCTCTTACAGCCTGTTTGGATCGATAAAAAACTCAGGAATTGGAATTCCATTTCCAATTCCATATTTTATGTTTGGAAGGATAAGAAGGTTGAGAAATGAATTCCATTTGGGCTAAGTTTTGGGAATTACAATTCCTATCAAAAGTGATAGTAATTGTGTTTATGAAGATGGAATTAGTGGGTCCCATCACTATTTATTAGGGTTAAAGACACATTTGGTCACTGAGATTACAAAATCGGGACATGTTTAGTCACTAGAAAAAGTTAATATCAAATTTGGTCACTACAATTACTAAAACTGGACGCATTTAGTCACTCGCCGTTAGTCTCCGTCCAACTCCGTTAATGAAGTCCGTTAAGTGCTGATGTGGCAAACAGAATTGCCTAATCAGCCGGATATAACCCAACAAAAATAAAACCCGACCCGCCACGTCATTATAACCCGCCACCTCATTAAAACCAACCCAACTCAACTCATGACCCAACCCTACCCTACCCAACCCTTCTTCCTCCTTCCTCCCCAACCCAATTTAGGGTTTTCCCCCAACTAAATTTAGCAGTTCTTTCATCAAGGAAGTGAAATCGAGTCGGAATCGCCCGGATCCGACTCGGAAGGAAGCAAAATCGACTGCCGGGAAGAAGAATCGGCCGGAGCCGGAGGGGAAGACCAATGTTGAAGCAGAGAAGAAAAAGAAGGATTGTTGTCCTGCAAATTGCGAACACAAACCAACAACAAAGATGATTACTTTATAGAGCAACCCCCCAAAAAAAAAGAGGGAACAAAGAGGTGGGTACAAACAGGGCGGTGATGCGGCAGACGGTGGCGGAATTGAAAGTGCAGTCGCATTTGATGAAAGGGTTGAAAGCTTGCTCGTCGATGGTGGGGCTTGCACCCAGCGCCGACCCACTGCAGAGCTCGTCGCTTATGTTCCATTGCCCCGGTTGCGCTTCGATTCCCCATCTCTCGAAAATGGCGTTCAATGCTCTTGCTGCATTACAATTACAAAGCCCCAACTGAATGAGAACGAAATTCCTTTCCCTAGCTAAATTGAGTTGGGGGAAAACCCTAAATTGGGTTGGGGAGGAAGGAGGAAGAAGGGTTGGGTAGGGTAGGGTTGGGTCATGAGTTGGGTTGGGTTGGTTTTAATGAGGTGGCGAGTTATAATGACGTGGCGGGTCGGGTTTTATTTTTGTTGGGTTATATCCGGCTGATTAGGCAATTCTGTTTGCCACATCAGCACTTAACGGACTTCATTAACGGAGTTGGACGGAGACTAACGGCGAGTGACTAAATGCGTCCAGTTTTAGTAATTGTAGTGACCAAATTTGATATTAACTTTTTCTAGTGACTAAACATGTCCCGATTTTGTAATCTCAGTGACCAAATGTGTCTTTAACCCCTATTTATTATTATTTTATTAACCAACTATCACACTACTCTCTTTCTCTATCATTCATATTTCATTTCTCAAGATAAAATAAATATATTATATTATTAATTATTGTTAAAAGTGCAATTCATTTATTTAGTTGGAGGAATTATACCAAACACTAAAATTGGAAATGAAATTCTATAAAAATAGGAATTGGAAATAGAATTCCATTTCCATTTCTTCTTGAATTGTATCCAAACAGGCTGTTAAGGATTACCTTCGATACTTGCCGAACAAAGCAACCTTAAACGACAAACACGGTATCAATCAGGGGTGGAGCCCGGATTTAAGTTTCGGAGGGGTCGGAGTTGTTGTGTCATAATAGCAAATATGAAAAAATTAATATGAGGAAATTAATTTATTTTTGTTATTACAAAGGCATAAAAAGTTTATGATGTGTTATGTTTAATAAATGAGTAACCTACAAAAATAAATCATGCATTTCAATGCGTAATATGTAAAGACGATGGAACTCACTAAAATCTATAAATGAACACCATCAATAGGGAATCGAACCTGGATCTGCTGGGATAAAATGGGAACATTGCTCGCTGAGCTACCTTCGGATTTTGTAATATACTATTGCTCACGATAGTATTTCATATAAAACTTTACTTTATACGTAATTTTCCTAAATCGTAAAAAAAATTGTACGTAATTTCAAAATTCTCGGGGGCAGCCCCCCCCCCCCCCCCCCCTCCCCAGGGCACACATAGCTCCTCCCCTGATATCAATTGTACGTCGAGTTCAAGAAGTAAACTCACGACAGAAAACCTTTTTCAATATAGTTCAGTACGAAATCGAACCAAAACAATGAACAAATTGGATTTAAAATATGTGTAGAACTTGGCAAAAAACCACAAAAATCAATTCTCTATTTGAATTGTGATTAGCCCATATCCTTTGTTTAAGGGTGAAATCAATATGGAAAAGGGCTTTGCAGTTGAAATCAAAATCACTTATCCTAGTGAAATCAAAATCACTTATCCTAATAGTCAAAATTCAACGTCAAGTAAATGTGCTATGAAGCTTGCCCAGTTGCCCCTATCCACAATCAAAGTTTTAAGCCAAATTCAAGTACTTGAGCGATCGTAGTTACTAACATCGCTAATCATCGTCTATAGACTCTAAGACCATCCACAATGTGGGTGGGGGAAATGTGGAAAAAGAGAGAAAAGTGGAAAAATTGGTTGGTTTGGTCACAGTGTGGTGGTGGGAAAAGTGGGTAATCAGTTTAGTACTTTTTTGTTAAAATCAATCTATAGTTGATTTTGTCACTTTATTTTCTTATAATGATCATTATTATTATGTACTTAGTGATAATAATTAATACGAACATTTCGATATAATTTTTTTTTAATTTGGAAACATTTTTTTCCATCACTAATTAAGTATGACATCAGCAATGACAAAATCACAATAATACGAGATGACCATTGGGGACAAAAACACAACTTTCCAAACAAGCTTTTGCTAAAATCAGGAAAAAAAAAGAAAGGGCTGTCATTTCCCATCCGCCACTTCCCCCCACCATTTGTCTCATCTGGTGGGTTTTCCCACCCACAAAATCCATTTAATTTCCTATTTCCCCACATTGTGGTCACATTTCCCATTTTTCCCACAAAACCAACCCACGCTGTGGGTGGTCTAAGGAGATCTCAATCCAACTTCCCTCCCCCACTGCTTCAATCTTATATAGATTTATTTATGGATGCGGCTAAAAAAAATCTGCTATTTGTCTTTGGTACAACCACAGTACAGCTACGGTAGGAAAAAGCAACTACTTATCAATCCCGCCTAGTATGACTCATTACATTAATCTTTCGTACAACATCCAACAGCTCATTCTCTTTTAATGGCTTGGTCAAATGGAAGTCCATCCCAGCTTCCAGACTCTTGTTCACTTCCTCTGTCGAGGAATGTCCTGATATCGCCACAATCGGAATCCTGCCTGCTTTCCCCGTTCTCTCCTCCTCCGCCCTTATCCATCTCGTTGCCTCGTACCCATTCATCTCAGGCATCTACGCATTGAAACACAAGAGAGAGAGAGATAGTGAGTTAGGTTAGCACTTATTTAGTGTCCACGAACTGAAAGGAAGGCAAAACTGAAACATTTGTTTTTACTTGCCTCACAATCCATCAAAATGCAGTAGTACGGCACCCAATCCTGAAGACCATTTTCTTCCCTGCTTTGCTCTCTCAATGCACTTGAAACTTTGTCAATAGCCTCTTTCCCGTTGGTGCAGTCTTCAACGCTACTTGCTCCCAACTTCCTCATCATTCGACCATGCAGTGTCTTCAAACAAGAAACATCATCCACAATCAAAACCTTCTTCCCTTTCAAGGGTTGCTTGTTGATCTCTTCATGATCACCAACGTCACTGCTGTTGACCAGAACGGCCTCCTGACGGACGGTCGACATCGACTCGGAAATCGTGCAGTTGGCAGGGTCTCCCAGCTCGATTGTCCAGCAACAGTTTGAGTTATTGGAAGAAATTCGTTGGTACTGTACCGTCGTTGGAGGAGCCAACATGGCAGCATTGCCATGAGGGATGATGGGCGACAATATGCCCTTATTCCTTCCCGGAAGTAGCGACAAAACCTCGTTGACTCGAGACCCGTGAAATGGCTTGTACACCACGTAATCCCCACCGGAGGTTAGGGTTTCCTGCAGCAGTCGACTCTGCTCGCCTCCATCGTGCACCATGAACCGGTCGTGAACCCAAACGATCTTCCACAGGACATTGTTGCCGCCCTCTCTCTTCAACTCGAGCAGGCGGGTGTGCAGGTCGTGATGGTAGTTGACATCAATCACGAGCAGGACGAATCTGGACCACCAAGTACCCTTGGTCATCGTCCTAAGGTTGTTCCTTCTTCCCGAATCCGAACTGTTGGAGACGGAGCGACTTAGACGTTGATCGACGGTTGTTGCAGCAGGAGAAGAAATCTCGAGCTTCGTCCTTATCTTCTCGAGCTCCTGGCACAGGCTGCTCGGATGAGTGAGGATGACCACCTTGATGTTCGTGTTTTCGATGTACCTCTTCAACACTTTCCTCCTCTCCTCCCCTTCTACCAAGATCATCACTTGAGAATCTTCACGCCTTGGCGACGCGAGTGCAAACGAAGAAGGACGCATCGTGATAGAAGGACTCTGTTGTTGTTGTTGGCCTTCTGTCGTAAGGGTGGATGTGCAGAGGAAGACATTGAATCTGAAACAAGTCCCTTTCTCCCCTTCTTTCTTCTCTACAATTTGCAATTCTCCTTTCATTAATCTCACCTGCAAAAAAAAAAAAAAAAAAAAAAGACATTGTTACACGTTCTCATCAATGTTGTATGCTACCCAAAAGAAGAAAGGATCACATTACTTACCAAAGATTGGACATTGCCAAGCCCCAATCCGAACCCACCAGAATGAGAAGCAGAGTTGTTATTGGTAGCCTGGACGTAGTCCTCAAACACAGACTTCCATTCAGTCTTGGGGATCCCTTTCCCGGTATCGTCCACCTCGAACTCGAACTCCACCTCGTTCGGATCCTCTGCCTCCGCCATCTGCAGGGTATCGAGCTCGCTCTCGCCGTTCACGCCGCACCTGTCCCAGCAGCAGGAGCTCAGCAGCGACCCGAACGCGAACGTCCTGTTGGAGGCGATGATGTCCTTCCTCAGGTTCCTCCTCTTCACCGAGGCGCGGACCTTCACGTGGCCCTCCGAGGTGAACTTGATGGCGTTGCTCAACAAGTTGGACAGTATCTGCCTCACCCTGGTCTGGTCGCCGTGCACGTGAGGTGACTTGTGGATGAAGGCATCCGAGGGGTCGAACACGACGTCGACCCCTTTCTTGATCCCCAAGTGGTAGAACCTGTCGACGAGCTCCTCCACGAGGTTGCCCAAGTTGAAGTCCTCGTTTCTCAGTTCCAGCTTCCCCGCTTCCAGCTTGTTGATGTCCAGAACCGACTCCAGCATTCCTAATGGAAATAGAAATGACTCTGTTCAATAAACAATGCGAAATGACTTGACGCAAATTACAGAGATTGAGAAGGTATATATAGAACTCACCAACAGCGTCGCGAGCGCAATTCTCGACCTTTTGGAGATCCCCTGCAACCTTACTAGCATCCGGATTGGTGGTGTCTTCTTGACAGAATTGGACTAATGCAACGAGCTGAGCCAGAGAGTTGCGGACATCGTGGCTGATCCCTGCGAATATCCTCGTCTTGTTCATGCTCTTGCGCTCGGCTTGCCGTGTGGCCTCTGTTTGCTTGATCAATGAAGCGCAGAGGTAGAGCTCCCTCTTCGTTGCTCTGGTCGCCATCCACAGGAACAGAGCAAGTGGCAGAACCACCATGCTGAATAGAACGCCGACTAGAATGATGGAAGCCTTGGTGATTCTTACCACCAGGCTCATCAATCCACTTCCAGGATATGCCAGCACGTAAACCTACAGAAACAAGGAAACCAAAAACAAAAAAAAAAAAAATTAAGAAGAGGGTTATTACTTATTATGACCGCCAACTTTATTAGCGACGAGTTT